TTTTTCAAAGACGTTCGACAAAGTCGACCATGCCCGACTCATTCTAAAACTCACTCGTTTCGGCATTCAACAAAAAATCATTGCTCGGGTCCAAAATCTCCTCCCTGACCGTAGTCAGAAAGTTGCTGTAAGTAACACCATATCTTCGTCCTGTCCTGTCCTCTCTGGAGTTCCCCAAGGCTCAGACATGGGGCCCTGCCTTTTTCTAATCTACATAAATGATCTACCAGACTCTATCACAAGCCAAGTTAGACTTTTTGCAGACGACACCATTGTCTATGTAATTGTTTCATCCGACTCTGATGCAGAAACACTACAAAAAGACTTAAATATTCTGGAAAAGTGGGAACAAAATTTGGTTAATGTCATTCAACACTGATAAATGTTAAATCTAAACATCTCAAAGAAAATACTGACACATAAATTAACTATATTCTCCATTGACAAATTCTCGGCCAGGGGACAGAACCCAAAGCCTTCTTCACAGGGGCGAACGCTCAACAAATGGCCAAAAGTGAGGCATTGTCAAGGGAGACATTAGGAAGAAGAAAGTTATTTAGAAAGGAGAGAAGAGATAAGGTCCCAAATTTAGTCGCCTCTTACGATCATGCAATTGGCGGCAGCAGGTACAATTCTTATGCCCTACCTGCAGGGCCGCCAGGTTATAATAGTTATTGGGGAATAAAAGAGAATTTGTAGGCGTCTTTTGTGGTAGATATTGTGTTTATTTTATGTGCCCCCCTTGTTCGTCTGTCACCTGATGTCCAACTATGATGATGGGTTAATGTTAACGATGTTATGCGAGATCTTGTATAGCATTGACAATCTAGCTTTTGCCCTTCTTTGTGATAAAGATTCCCAATCTAATGATTTCATCATGTTTGTGATACAGCTTGGATCTCTAGACCCGTACTCATTAAAAGTGTATCTCGCTGCTCTATGTTGACCATTGTCTAATTGTTGTATGTGGTTGATGGAATAGGGGTCCCAACAAGTTGAGGCATATTCTACAGCTGGTCTTACAAGAGCAGTGTATGCCTGTGATTTAACTTTCCTGGTACATGAAGATGTATTTCGACGTGGGAAGCCCAAGGTCGTATTGGCCTTGTTGGTCACTGATTGAATGTGTCTGCCCCAAGTTAGGTCTGAACTGAAAGTGAACCAAGATATTTGTTAGTATCTACATTTTCTAAAATCTTATTATGAAGGGTATAGTTATAATTAATGATGTTTCTTTTTTTCGATACATTAATAATAGAACATTTACTGGTGTTAAACTTCATTTGCCAATTTTCTTCCCATTTTTCTAAAGACTTTGGGAATTTTTGCCGGTACATGATCAGGACATGTAGCCTTGTGAGTCTGTAGATCAGATAGAAGTTTAAAGACGCCTGTCCCACCAAAAGTAATGTTAGGCATACTTTGGTATGGGGAGGGACCAAGGTTAGGAAAATCAGATAGCTGTTCATGAGTAAATTCTGAGTGAAACTGGTGGTTCAGGAGATGAGCTTTGGTTTTGGGGTCTGAGTAAGTTATTTCATCCTCGGGATTTCTGATAGGAGGAATGTTGTTACAATCAGACTTTTTACTATTTATAAAACTCCAAAACCTTTTCGGTTTTTCCTTCAACTCAGGGCTGATTATGTCTTGCATATATTTACTGTAAGCCCATCTTGTTTCTTTTTGCATATTTGCTTTGATTGATCTATATTTAGCCCAGTCTGATGTTCTTTTAGTTTGCCTTGCCTTATTATAGCCCGTCGTTTTTGCCTTGAAAGCCTGTTTATTTTTCCATTTGCCCAAGGGTTTGTGAATTTAGACCTCTTGGTCTTCTGTGGGACATGGCTTTGTATGGCAGATGTTATAGTGGTTTTAAAAATATTCCAGGCTTGATTTACTGGTAAATCTTCATTGGTAATGAGTTTCAGTTTTTCTAAAATTTCTGCTTTTAAGTTATCATAGTTTACCTTGTTCCATAGTAATATATTACGTTTGGTGGGGTTTTTAGGAGGGCATGATGTGGCATGGTCAATCAGTACAACATCATGATCTGAGACCCCTGGGATTGGCTTACATTTGTTGACCAACGATGGAACATTTGTCAAAAATTAATCTAATGTGTTGTTTGATCTAGTTGGAAAATCAACTATTTGACTCAATGCGAGATCTTCAAATAGGGAGATGAACTGTTCATTTAATGCCTTAGGATATTGATTACTAGTAATCTTTCCATCAGGCCATTCTATATCACACAAGTTGAAGTCTCCCCCTATCCACAGAGTGTGGTTAGGAAAGTCCTGAGAGATCTTAAATTCAGAAACAGTTTCTAGGATATACTGGGGGTCGGTTCTGTTTGGTGGTCTATAGAAAGACACAATTAATTTATTACTGATTTTTGTTTAGCTAGGTGTACTTTAGCAGCTATCATTTCAACTTTATTACTTGTGTATGCTAGAGTAGCATTTAAGTGGGTACAGATTGCTAACACTTTGATTTACCCCTCCACTTCGTTTTTCAGTTCGATCATTTCTGAATATGTCAAAGTCACAAGGAAAAAGTTCTGAGTTCGATATCTCTGGCTTCAACCAAGTTTCAGTGCCAATAAGAATGTCAGGCTTGGCAGATTCAATTAAAAGTGAGATTTCATGCCTTTTAGATTTTGCACTCTGGAAATTTATTAAAAGAGTTCTTAAGGAATACATTGCTTTCTTGACATTTGTGTTCAAGATTTTTTTATCTTCTTTTAGGGTTTACTGGAGATGATGTGGCCATGGGAATGGGCATTGTGGACTCGTGCGAAAGAGGGTTATGTAAATGGCCATGGTCAACAGAGCTGCATGATGGTAAACCTGAGCCGGTTGTGGAGTTCATGTTGCTATTGTTGCTATTTAACCAGGGTGGAGTGCTGTTGACATTGTTGTTATTATCAGTAATTACTGAGCTTAGGGTGGAGTCAACAACAGAGTCCTAACGGTACAGTTTGTGAGAATTATTTAAGCTTGCACACGTTGGACAAGCCCATGGCTGACTTGAATTGGGATCAATCGAGATGTTTGGTTCAGATTGTTTTATTCCTTGTGTAACACACATCGGAGAGTAGACATACAAATAGTACAGTATATTACAAATTTACAATGATACATGTATACAATAATATTCATTAATCGTGCAGTACTTCAAAATAATATATAATAAGAAACAGCATTTTACACTGCAATACACCAACATCGTAAGGTTCCGATACAGTGCAATCATAACAATAGTATAACTTTCAATGACGTACGTTACAGGTAATGATAACTGGATTAATATAGTTACATACATTGCATCGCACATATGTCACGAATAAATACTCTCTAGCAGAACAGTAAAAAAAACAATACACCGCCATAGTGTAATGAATACGATGTTACACCTGACGTTAGTGACAGTGATATTACGATATAGAAAATACTCGTCGATGTTTCGACGTTGTTAATTATGATTAATTTACCATATAATCTATATCACATAGGAAAGGTAATGAACGGGCACAATCATCTTTTTTTACACAATATACACATAATACAAATATCTTATCAAATATGGTATACTGAAATGAACATTTACAGGAAAAATGAAATAAAATATTATACAGAGCTATTACGACGTTATAAACTTAAAAGCAAGAATTTTCCTAATTTATTCAATTCCTTAATGTTTTGAGTAGTAAATAACTGAATCAATTTGAAAACACTTGGTCTTTTGTAATAAAAAGGCTTAATAAACTCGCGCCTTAAGTCGTTATAAAAGTTACACTTTAATATAAAATGAAATTTGTCTTCAATATCATTAGAGTTACATAAGTTACAGAATCTTTGTTCTCTAGGAAGGTTTGATGACACACTTGTGTTATTTAGGCAGTTAGCATGGATCCATTGGTTACAGTTATTGCAACTACGCGGCATTTTTTGGTGAATTTTGACAGGTCGATAACATACTAGGCAAGAGAATTTGGATGTTTCTAATGACAGTTTGGACAAAGCCAGTGTTTGGAGGGATGCTCTGTGTAGAACTGGAAGGTGACACTAGTGTAAAAGATGTGGATTAGTTAGGTTGCCTTACAAGCGTCAGCTGTAGGGAATTACCCTTTAGCTCAGCGGTAGAGCATCGGGCTGGAGAGCCAAGGGTCGCGGGTTCGAGCCCCGGCGCCGGCACTATCTTTATCACGTTTCCTCGTCCTATTACAAACTGGTGCCGTTGACCCTCCCCGTTCAAGGTAGGAGACCCTTGACGGGGAGTCAAAGAACCTGGGTTGATATTTGGAAAAAGGGGGGAATAGTGTAAAAGATGTGGATTAATTAGGTTGTCTTACAAGCGTCAGCTGTAGGAAATTTCCCTTTAGCTCAGCGGTAGAGCATCGGGCTGGAGAGCCAAGAGTCGCGGATTCGAGCCCCGGCGCCGGCACTATCCGCTTTATCAATTTTCCTCGTCCTATTACAATAGTGTATATTGGACAGTTTTCACAGGTCGAAGACTTACAACGACTGGAAGAATAGTGCGAACAGTGCAAACATAGACCGAACATGCCCCAAATTTATACTTCCTCGCCATTTTCTTGTTTTAAAGTTGAATAAAACGTGACAACACGCGAAGTTTGATATTTGAATTTGGCGCGCATTTTTCTTGATCTGGTTCCACAGATTATGTCATTGTTCTTATCACAGTCATCCTGGGTTTTTCGTATTCTGATATTCTCCAGACAACAAATAAACGATATACCGTCAAGTTATTTTTAACTGAAAGGTAAATCTTAAAATATATTTTAACCAATCGTATGTCACCACATCACGCCCGGGCCTGCAAGATGGCGACTTCCATAAAGGTAAAACCCGGCTTTTTGATTCTCTGGCAAAAAAAATGACTTATCGTTCATTTAACATCACTTTTTAAGTAGTTAAAACGTATTCTTGTTAAATACCGCACAATTTGTTGAAGGAAATTGGCAATATGATAATTTTCCAATCGAGAAATATATCAAATATGGACGGATGTTTACCCCCCCGACGTCAGATTGCCACGCGTCGATACAGTTAGCCTAGTCTGTTTTCATTTCGAATAAGCTTTGATTATATTTGTGCGATATTTATGTAATGTAACTGTGATAAAGTGAAATGCAAGTCTGGTTGAAGTTTTATTGATGTCAACTATGTAGTCAAAAAGACACGCCATGTTTGCTAAACAAAATCGATCATGTCGACATGTGTTTTACTTTATCGATCAGGTGTTTTGCCTGCTTAAACACATGAAGTTAGCACCTTCGGAATAGCCGATCAAGTGAGATCAATTCTGGATACGGTGCTTGTATACATGGAAAACTGTTTCACGATTCAGTCCACCTAATAGGACACTTGTACTCGTTCTATAGGCCCTCCACACTTCAAGTTCAATGTAAATCACAGAATAAGGAAGTTTATTACATTATTTTTGAAAGAACTTATAGCAATTTTGTGAGGATATCCCTTAGTGTCCCTACATGAATACATGCAAAAAGTGCAAGTGTCTTATTTTCCAATGCGTGGAGTAGAACCTGGGACCTCTAGTTTATTTTAGTCTTATGCTCTACTGAATGAGCTAAAGAGAACTTTCCTTTGTTTTGTACTGGGGGAGACAACAGTAGAATTCTCAGTTCCAAGCGGTTGTGTTTTCCCAGGGACGTAGTCGTATAATACGTATATACTGTCCCTGGTTTTCCTTACAAAAAACAGATTTGACACAAACTATCTTGTAAGAAAATAAACCACTTTTAGCAACACAATTTCTGTCACAAGTTTCCTCACCTAATCTATAGAGTAACTTTTGTTCTTCACTAGAAGGGGACTATAATCCTATGTACAATTAAGTATGTTTATGGAGCTATTTTGATGCATAAAAAGGGAAACAAAAATTGAGAAAAGCAGTTTCAGTTACATTTCTCATACTTTCTCCCCTCATTGGTAATGTGGAATGAGGGTTTCCCTCATTGGTAATGTGGAATGAGGGAGATCTCCCTCATTGGAGGTTTCAGAGGTTGACATCTATGTTTTTGTTTTTAAGAAAGCAAGCAATGAAGCATTGGTATATAACAGTATTGGGTACTGTGGTTTGACCACAAAGGTTTATGTCATAACTGATGTGAATGAGTCTGCCACACTTCTCATATGGTGTTTGAGTCGGAATGACAAGAGTCAATATGTAACAATAAAATATAATTTTGTTTTAATGTTGTCTTAGCACAGTGTGAACTCCAGTTAAACATTTCTTTTGGCCGCCCACAAAATTGTTGACTGTGCTAAAGTAAAAACTATGAATGATAATTTTAACATGCGACAAATGTCAGTCATTTCTGTGTATCATTTAAATTTATTCATAAATTCAATCAGAAAACAAAATTATGTATTGATGTTGTTACTCTACAACAGCTCGGGTCACCACTTTGTAATTTTCAAAGAGGCAAGCCGAAGGGATTGAAGCTTTTTTGCTGTGTATATCAGCGAATGAATACAAGTTAGGCATGACACCTGATATATGAAACTTGCATATTGCATTTTGGCTTCAGTTTTTAAAAAATCTTTATTTTTCTATTGACAGATGTTGCCAGCTGTAGGTTTAGTAGTAGTGTGTCTGCTGACCGTGGTAGAAGGTCAATCCAAGCCTATCACTGTAACACTAAACGCCAAATGGAACTCCACACCCTTACTACTAGAAGCAAGGTAAGTGGATGATTGATCTTACGTTTTTCGAGAGTTATATGTGTGACATGTTTATTTGTGATAATCTTTCTTTTCCGCATTTTTCAACAAATCCGCCAAAAACATGTGAGAAATATAAATAATTGTTACATTGACAAACTTTCAGCAATGTTACAATTTCTCACATTTGGTTTGTACAATCTGATCCCTTTGCACCTAGCAATTAGGAAAAATAAGATTGATTGAAGAACCTCCTTAAATTGTTACAAAATAAATAAACCAATCTCAGTGAACATTTTTTTTCTCTATTTAATCAATAAATAATTCTGTGTGGTGAAGGAAATCTCGGACAAGAAGAAAAAGGTACGTGGTAAGAGGGGAGGTTGCTTAGTTGTAAGGGATGGGGCATTTATAAGGTACATTTATAAAACCAAAGATCAAATTTCTTTTAGTTTGATCAGCATTAAAACCTACAGTCAGGATAGATGTCCGTCACAATCACTTCATTCATGCGCATGGTGGTCATGTATAATACATATAACACATTATAGGTGCTATGTTCTGACCAAATTGATAAAACCAGTTTCCTGTGATTTTTACCTGTATTGATGATAACAGGATGATATATTCTTATAAGTTCATTCTACATATATCAACATTATTGTTGTTATTTTAGTGCATGTTTTCATTGGAATTTTATTCTTGTTGATTAACAGTGAGTACATAGCAAAAGAAAGCCCAGAATCCTTTTGGAGATATGTGGAAGAGATAGCCAAGTTGGACCCGAAAGCAACTGCCTTAGGTATGTATACAAAGTCGGCAATAACTGTCAAACTGCTAAAACACCAAATATGTGATAGATTTAATTGATTAAACACACTCTACTTTGATTTTCTATGCTATGGTTCCAGACAATAAACATGTATATCATCATTATGAAGTAGGATTACAACCATAGCAAGATGTTGTCCATTTTCAAGGTAAACCATAAGACGTCTTTTGTATAATTGATCAGATTTGATAACCAATTTATTGTACAGGCTTTATGCTGATATTATGGAATCATATTTCAAGTTTAAATTCCTCTCGCACTGTCAGTTTGGGGAATATGACAGACAAACAATATATTCAGCCATGTTGTGAGCTTGATACCCTTTAAAGAAACTCGCAATATATTGTACCATCTTTTTTATTTTTCCCTTTCATCAAAAGCCTACTAAATACTGGAAATGAACTGGTTGTTATACACTACAATAACGGATTTCTCCCCAGACTTGAGTGTACACTACAATAACTGATTTCTCCCCAGACTTGAGTGAACACTACAATAACTGATTTCTCCCTCTCCCTAGACTTGAGTGTACACTACAATAAAGGATTTCTCCTCAGACTTGAATGTACACTACAATAACTGATTTCTCCCCAGACTTGAGTGAACACTACATAGCTGATTTCTCCCCAGACTTGAGTGAACACTACAATAACTGATTTCTCCCTCTCCCTAGACTTGAGTGTACACTACAATAACTGATTTCTCCTCAGACTTGAGTGTACACTACATTAATTGATTTGTCCCCAGACATGAGTGTACACTACAATAACTGATATCTCCCCAGACTTGAGTGTACACTACAATACACTATAATAACTGATTTCTCCCCAGGCTTGAGTGTACACTACAATAACTGATTTACCCCCAGACTTGAGTGTACACTACAATAACAGATTTCTCCCCAGACTTGAGTGTACACTACATTAATTGATTTGTCCCCAGACATGAGTGTACACTACAATAACTGATATCTCCCCAGACTTGAGTGTACACTACAATAAATGATTTCTCCCCAGACCTGAGTGTACACTACAATAAAGGATTTCTCCTCAGACTTGAATGTACACTACAATAACTGATTTCTCCCCATACTTGAGTGAACACTACATAGCTGATTTCTCCCCAGACTTGAGTGAACACTACAATAACTGATTTATTCCCAGACTTGAGTGTACACTACAATAAATGATTTCTCCCATGACTTGAATGTACACTACAATAAATGATTTCTCCTCAGCCTTGAATGTCCACTACAATAACTGATTTCTCCCCAGACTTAGTGTACACCACAATAACTGATTTATCCCCAGACTTGAGTGTACACTACAATAAATGCTTTCTCCCCAGACTTGAGTGTACACTACAATACACTATAATAACTGATTTCTCCCCAGGCTTGAGTGTACACTACAATAACTGATTTATTCCCAGACTTGAGTGTACACTACAATAACTGATTTATTCCCAGACTTGAGTGTACACTACAATAAATGATTTCTCCCCAGACCTGAGTGTACACTACAATAAAGGATTTCTCCTCAGACTTGAATGTACACTACAATAACTGATTTATTCCCAAACTTGAGGGTACACTACAATACCTGATTTCTCCCCAGACTTGAGTGTACACTTCAATAAATGATTTCTCCCCAGACTTGAGTGTACACCACAATAACTGATTTATCCCCAGACTTGAGTGTACACTAAAATAACTGATTTCTCCTCAGACTTGAGTGTACACTACAATAACTGATTTGTCCCCAGACATGAGTGTACACTACAATAACTGATATCTCCCCAGACTTGAGTGTACACTACAATAACAGATTTCTCCCCAGACTTGAGTGTACACTACAATAAATGCTTTCTCCCCAGACTTGAGTGTACACTACATTAATTGATTTGTCCCCAGACATGAGTGTACACTACAATAACTGATATCTCCCCAGACTTGAGTGTACACTACAATAACTGATTTCTCCCCAGACTTAGTGTACACCACAATAACTGATTTATCCCCAGATTGAGCCTACGCTATAATGTTTGGTTTCTATCCAAAGAGTCTACAAGGAGTTTAGACTTTTTTGTCAGATCCCCCTTTTTATTTTTTTTGTGAATAAGACAAGTGATATTACCCATGTTGTCTGCCTCAAAACATTTAAACTAATAATACTTGACCAATTTACTTACTTTGACCTTTCATCAATTGAATTATTTTTACCAGAGTTTGATCTATCTTTCAGAAACTGATCATGGATATTACCATATGATCCTGAAGTTTGCAAGCAAAGTTATCTCCCCTTTGCAACTGAAGTTATTACAGCTTTCTCTGTCCCTCAGGATCTACTCTCCAGCAGTGGAAACATTCCAACAGGTCAGTTGGGTCAAGGATATTGTTGTCATATAAAGGGGGTCAAGGTCAATATTGTTACCACCTATATGGGTCAAGGTCATTGTAGACAAAAGCATTTGGTCAAGATCATAATGGGATGAATAACAGTTACATACAGGGATAAGAGTAATTAGAATTACATCAGAGGTCTTGGGCACTTTACTCACAGAGGTCAGGATTATTGTAGTCACATACAGTTGTCAAGGTCATATAATCACACAAAAAGTTAAGATGTTTGTCATTATATTTATTGGTTTGAAGCAGATCCAGGATTTTTTTGAAATGATAAAATGCTGAATGGAGAATGAGATATGTCTCTTAACTAGGTTGGAATTGGATTATTTGTATGAATGAAATTATATGTTAACATGCAAATATGAGAAAAATATTTATGAAGGTTTTGTTATATGGTATATTTTTGCATGATATCTATATCCAGCCATTATATGCTGGTATACAGCATTTGCGTCACACCTCAAAATGAAGTTCAAACTACTGTGGTCGTCATGGTGATAATATTTGTTATTTCTGTTATTTCCAGCTGGCTGAGGGAGCACCAGATGGCTGCTTTGCATTTGTGAACATTCACGGTCAAACTACATGTAATCCAGCAGAGGTGAAGTCACTGATAGAAAAGGCAGCAGATTTGTAAGTGTCTTAATTTAAATGGGATGATTTACTATTCAAAAACCCAAAGTCAAAACATCGACAAGGACACCGTCCATGTTCAGATGTAAAGTAGGGAGCTAGTAATGTTTTATTGGAAAATTAAACAAAGTACAATTATAATCATTTGTACCATCAAATTCTTGTTGATAATGCACCCTTCCAATGGGTCTTCAGTGATATTTAGGTTTATGTAGACCAAAGAACATTTTAGTATACTGGCTATACTCTTTGTATCAGTCTAGTGTTGAAATTGTAAAATTCAAGTTAGAATTGATTGGGATAGTAGGAATAGGGAGGGAGGCTCTTATAGTTAGTTATATAGGGGTGATGGGGTCTTCAATCACGGGTCCAATTGTGGGTGTCGGGGAAGGAGGTTACATAAAAGAGACCTCTTGCTCGCCACCTCCCCATCCTTCCCTATAATTTTTACCGGGATTGTTCTCGGCTGATTTTCTGATATACATTTTGATCCTAAAAAATCCCCTTTTTATATAGTTTTATATTATAATTAAAAGCTTATGTAATATTTTATCCTCCACCATACATACAATGGTATCGCCACCATTGTTTTGATGCTCCCACTAGTGTGATTCAGTCTCACTCTCCGAAGTCTTTGCAATGAGGACATGATATTACTTGGGTTTGACCTAGATTTACACGACATAAAGGCTCACATTAATGCAAAATGTATTACTTGATTCAACAGTCTTATTTGAAGAAGAAACTCTGTTTAGTTTTTCCTAAATGGCCAAAAATAGCTTAAATTGACATGGGTTGTAAAAATTATACATCAAAATAGATTTTGCTATACATTAGGTAAAGAAAACAACATAAATTTTGTAATATTGGTATTGTTTTATGGTGGGCTTTTTGTGCCAGCTTACAGTATGTTTGAAACTTCATAATCAGTGATCTCTTAATTTGTAGACCAAAGTCATCAATTTTCAAGTTTGACCATATCTACCCTGGATCTGCGGGTAATGACACTGTTGTTGTGCTGTACGCAGAAGTCGGCAGAGAGGGATTCCCAGAATTTCATCAAACGCTGCTCGACATGGCAAAACAGAAACAAATAAAATATGTACTGCGACACTTTGTTAGAGTAAGTAAGGCATTAGATAACTTCATGTACTGGTTGCTGTCTTGTTCACCTTCACATGTTTTTTGTCTCGCCGCCACGAAGTAGCGGAAGCTAGACTAAGGTGTTGCTTTTCCGGCGACAACGGCTTCAACATTTAGTTTTTGCGTTTAAGTTAGTTTCACTGAAAGTATAAGTGCTAGACCAACCAAACTTGGACCATAGATGCATCATAGGTAGTACATCTCAATCCATGCATCAAATGCTGGATGCGGCCTACCTTTCATGGTCTATTGANCCAGGCATCAAATGCTAGATGCAGTCTACCTTTCATGGTCCATTGACTTTGCCAGCATCTCCATATCAACATTAAGTTTTTGCGTTGAAGTTAGTTTCTCTGATATGCGGATCGATGGTCAAAGCGGGGCACAGGGGAGACAAATTAGTCCGAATGGCTTGTCACAGAAAGTACAATATATATTGTGTTGATTATGATCTTGGTTTTTTGTAAGGCTAAATTTTAGCAATATTAATTATAAATTACAAAAACTCAAATAAAAGTACAGCCAAATACACAGGGGCATGGATCGCTTTACTTGTAATATTAAAGAATAGGGGTCTAAAAATAAAATAAATTAACTTTACTTCACTGGTGCCTGCCCCTCCCGCTTCAGAGCATGTTACTTATACAGTATATAAGAAGATCTTAATCATTGCTGCAGTATGCAGTGGGAGTTGAATTGAATGAGCATGAAGAAATCCATCATTTGTATCCAAATGCTAAATCTGAAAAGAAATGTTTTTTTCACTTTCAGGACCAAGCCAAGGAGAAGACCCGCTTGTCAGGTTATGGTGTGGAGCTGGCCATCAAGAGTACTGAATACAAAGCCCAGGACGACACAAAAGTAGAAAGTAGGTACTCGGTAGTCGTACAAAAGTGGGAAAAAAAATATTACTTGGAATAGATTTACCATCTTCACTTTTAACTTTTAAATATTGAGACTAATCCTCATGCAAATTGTCTGTAAATATTCTGACCGAATTTTTGTTTTGGGGTCATGAATCAAAGGTCAAGGTCATTGTTACTTTAAAAAGACAATCTATATGCCTCTGTGGTTTTCCGTTTAATGGGTTTTTTCCAATCATACATTCCATTTAGCCTCGAGGATCACCAATTTGTCCAGTAAATAATATGTAGAATTTTGCACATCTGCATTAATATCATTGATTTCTCACTTCAGAATTCAGATGTTTTGACATTTTTTTTAAGGCTGTTTTTTATCTTACACTTGTCATCCTTGATTGACAGGTGGAGGTTCTGCAGATACAGAGGAAGATGCAGTGGATGAGGTGCAAGGATTCATCTTTTCAAAACTCAGGTATGTAAGCGAAAAGAAGGTATTTTTGAGAGTTTAAACACTTTAATATATGATGTTATTTGATAGAAAAAACTTATATTTAAAGGCAATGTGTAAAATATAGCGAAAATGTTTGTCTTTTGACGATTCTTTTAAACATGTAATGGGTTAATTAACCATTGAACATTCATATAAGATATTGTATAGGTATTTTAGAGTGCAACTCTTTTGTAAAGAAGGCACCTGCCCCAGTAAGGAAGTATACATCCTTAACAAAAAAATAATTTCAGAGAGTTGCACCCAGAGAGCAAAGAGGATCTGGCGGCTTTTAAGAATCACCTTGTGGCCACATCTACTGATCTGGCCGCACTCAAAGTATGGCAGTTACAAGGTGAGAATGGCTGGTTAGAGGTCAAAAAGAGTCAAGATTCAGTGTCAGTTTAGGGTCATTAGGACATTGGAATCCAATTTATAAGTTATAAGTTACTTGTTTGTAATATGGTGAAAAAGTAAGATTTTTTGTGTAAAATGTTGCATATTTGGGTATTATTTTTTTTTCTATTGGTTCTTTATTTATTTTGCTTCAGAATAGTTCTAATCATTTTTTTTAAACTTGCATGAAGTTGTTGTTTTCTCCCCAGATTTAAGTCTATGCTATAATAACTGATTTCTCCCCAGACGTAAGTCTACTTGTATAATAACTGATTTCTCCCTAGATTTAAGTCTACAGTTTAATAACTGATTTCTCCCCAGATTTGAGTCTACAGTATAATAACTGATTTCTTCCCAGATTTGAGTCTACAAGCAGGACAGATTTTGATGACCACCCCTGCATCTGAAGTATTGTCTGTTCTCACAGACATCAGTCAGAACTTCCCACAGCGAGCCAGGTACGAACTTTACAGTAACCGTTCTGAAAGTGGTGCATACTTATCAAAGCCAATAATAAATGGATATTAAGGCTGGTTTTAAATCACAAACAAAAACAAAGTTGGTTTCATAATTTTCCTTCCCTTCTTGGGTTGGATGTATTTCTAAATTGAACTGCATCATTGTTCATGAATTATGATATAGGGAGTGTCCGTATGTCAGCCTCTCTCTGTCCATCCGTCCACAATTGTGTTTCTGCTCCATAATTTGCTTAAACATCATTCAGTTTTTACAAAACTTGGTAAGCATGTACAATATACATAGACTGTGGCAAATTTTGATGCTGAGCAAAATCTGGGCATAATTAATTAGCATATTGTGCTCTGATTGATCAAGATTACTTGCTTAAATATTGTTTCTTCCCTTTACATTACCATAGTTCATGCATTTAGATACAATAACGCATCGAAGGAACTTAACAGGGCAAGAACAAAAGAAAAAAGAAAAAAAAATGATTTTATTTCCTATTTTATTGATAATACAAAATTCTGGTACAGCAGAACGTACCGAGATATACATGTACGGTAACAGGAGAGGAAAATGCATGGCCAGAACTATCTGGTCGCAATCAGCTCAGTCCAGTTTTGCTACATTCGAGTTTGGAGTATCCAGGGTTCAAATCCCACAACATTCATATATATTATTTCTAGAAAACCATATGTTTATCTTGGGAATATATTAATTCTGTTTCCGATTGGGGAAACAATTGCCTATGGACTATGACGTCACAATGGAAGATGACGTCGCAAAGTCATAATGAGAATATTGGTCAATATAATAACATCCAGGGTGTTACCCACTAGTATATAATATAATGCGATTATATTTATGTATACAAGTTTATAAATGTTACAGGACATTAGTGAAGACAGTTCTTACAGAAGAATTCAAGAAAGAAGTAAAGCAAAATCAACAGGTACAATACATGTTTTGCTCATTAATTTAATGGCAAATGAGTTGAAATATCAAAGATGATATTTTAAAGAATGATAAATTCTATTACATAACTTGTTCAGCTTTCAATACCAATATGTTTTCAGGGTGATTTTGTACTTTGCAGATTTACATAAATATCATAATTTGTACTGTTAAGTTATAGAGTTTAACGATGGTAATAGGATTAGCTTTTATGCCATGTCTCATTTAAAAAAGGATAGTTATTTCCACTGCATGTCTTTTTCATGGAATTAAATCAACCACAAAATAGCAAAAATAATAACCACACAAAAACACGAAGCTTAACTGTCAGGAGTTAATCCAAGTAGACCTGGAAACACTGCTGCAGACATTGAAATCTTAACTTTATCTTCACTTCAAAATGTGTATTAACCCTTTCGCCCCTAGGTTACATTAGTAGACTCTACCATACATTGATCTGGATGAGTCCATTATGGTCTACAGTGGTGAAAGGGTAAACTCTCTATATAGCTATGCATCAGTGTATCAATCTCCTTACCTAGTATATCACTAAAATTGTATCGCCTTTTTTTGGACCAAATACTTTATACTAGTGTAACCAGACACTTGAGTATTCCAAATTCCTGTCTAAATGTACAATCATGCAAAAAGAATTATGAAAAATATCAAATACAACCTGTGTATTCTGACATCTGTCTAAACTGACAGATATGTTGTGATCTGGCCAACTGGTGTCAGATTAGACAGGTTTCACTGTACATGTATATTTTCAAACCCTTTGAATTGTACCATTTTAATTTACTCTAATTACTAAATTATAATGGATATCAGAGAAGGTTCATATAGGTATTCCGTATTTGTGATTGCAGAGGTATCTGCTTTTGTGAACAGGTATTGATTGTTAGTCATTAGTTTGTGTGAGAAAATTACGTCGTTTTTCTCAAAAATGTATGATGTTACTCTCACAAACAAATGAAGTAACAATCAATACCTGCTCACAAGAGCAGATAACTCTGCAATACAATAAGACGGAATAGCCTGCTGTCTAATCTATTATAATTATTGTATATTACTTGGGATAAATTTGATGAAAGGAAATATTAATGTTCCTCTAATTATCTATTACGATATCCAAATCAGGCCTTTGTCTGACCCCCTCCTTCACTGCTGTGTAGAGTTCGTTCATTTGTGCTTGTAGTATTTCGAGACAAACCATGGGCTGTCAGCAGGAGACTCTGCTATGTACCTAAACGGTTTACCTGTTGATATGGAAGCGTACGACGTCTACAGTCTCCTGGAACTGATGCGAACGGAGACAAACCTTATGGAGGGACTCTACTCACTTGGCTTCAAGGTCAGACAACTCTAACAATAGGATTCGTACAATGAAATGACTACTGGTAGTATGAAAAAGTCTTTGATGGATATAAAAATAAACTATTGAAATAAAGCATACAATACACGATAAAAAGGATTGTATAAGTATGTTTGTACTTGTTCACTATCATCTTCATTAATTGTCATATGCATTCGCATGCATGTATGTTCAATTTACCTGACTGTCAAAATGCAGTTTAATCAAGTATTTGATCAACTCATATTTTAATGAAACTAGTCATTTCCCGTATTTGTTTTTGCAAAAAGAGGGGGGAATTTTGAAAAGGAAGCACCTAAATTTTCAAAAATGTTAACTTTAATTTTCACAAGGTAGCAAAATATGACTTTGTAACCACACTGCAAAATTACAATATTTCTTTTTGAATTCATCTCAATAAGTTGAAACAGATTTGACTTTAAACATGTGTTCAGTTGTTGACTCTACCATAGCTTAGTTGTTGTTGAGTCCATTGTTTTGTTGATATCTCTTCAGGGTCCAGAGGTCAATCAGATTCTGAAGTTAGACCTGAGTGGGGACTCGGAAGACTTCGCCCTGGATATTAGACACATCGCTATTTCTGTAAGTCAGATTTGTCAGCCATAAATGTCAGTCAAGGTCACTTTCAAACAAGCATGTCCTTTCAGGAATCTAAGCTCAATTTTGAGAGTCAAAAACATAAATTCACGGGTCAAAAGAAAGCCTGGTAAATCATAATCAGGTTGCACTTGGTTTGATAACTTCAATGTATGCTACATAAGTACAGTGAAATTTTGGCATTTGATGATATATCAAGGGAGACATATGAAGGAATGGTAGAGAACTTGACGTACAATATAAGATGGCAGTAAGTGAGATGGCAGAAGAAATGAGCATTATATTGAAGTTTTACTGTATACATAACACAGTACACTACAGTTATTGTAATTAAGAATTTTCTGGGTTTTTTCCTGCAGTATTTAAATGACCTGGAGAGTGATCGTAAGTACAAGAATTGGCCAAGCAGCGTACAGGACATCCTACGCCCAACATTCCCGGGCATGCTCCGACATGTCGCCAAGAACCTTTTTCACATGGTATATCTTCATTCTCAAAATCAGACTTTAGTCTAATAGTTAGCCAGTAACAAACTTAAGGCAAGCCAAAATCATTTCTGTTCTTGTTATCTTACCTTCTCAACATTTTTTGCACCGAGCTGAATGACTTTTGGTTATTGACTAATGACTAATATTCATGTTAAGATGTTTTCTTCTGTAATCTGTTCAAAAAGTGAAATTGTAAATAAAACATTTTATTCTATTTTTATGGAAAATGAATATAAAGTTGTATATCAATAAATATATCCATAATGTGGTAAAGACATGCACAGGTAGCTCCTCTCAGAGCTTTTCTGTAGTCTTGTGAACATGTCTACATAGTTTTCCTTTTTTCTTTTAAATCATTTCTACACAAAGAAATCTTAGTGCTATATATATAACTACATATAGCTTATGAAGATCATTTAAACCTGAATAATATCAGAAACTTTGTTTTACAAATGTAATGTTTGCTGTTTGTATTCAACTGTAAGAAAGAAAGAAGTCTTTCTACCTTCAGACAAAAACACATTTATTGTGAATTTGTCAAATTTTGTAAGATTTTATTGAGTGATTTAGTTCCATTTTAACCCTTTCACCGCTGTAGACCATACCAGAGTGTACTAAAGTTACATAGGGGTGAAAGGGTTAATACTCTCAGTCTTCATAGAAATATTAAATAACATTCGACTCTGTTTCAGGTTTTTATTGTGGATCCTACTGAAAAGGAAAGTAGAGAATTACTTAAAATGGCGGAAGCATTTTTGGTGCACAGTGCACCAGTACGAATCGGCATAGTGCTTGTGGTTGACTCGGATAAAGAGGTGACAGGGTACGACGACACAGGAGTGGCGTTTTCTCGTGCATTTGATTACCTTATTAGGGAAGAGAGTGCCGATAGGGCTATCTCCTTTATCACAGATGTAAGTAATTTTTTTTTTTTTTGGTTTTATTTATAAAATATTTTCAAATTATAGAAAGAAGTATTGAAATACCTCTTCAAAATTTGTGTGTAATTTTTTATATGCTGTGTTGCTGTTAGTGTGATTGACCACTTTTCGCATCGATTCAAATTTTATAGATAAAATGTGTTTTACCATAAGGGCTGTTCTATAACTATAAACCATATGGGAGGGGTGGGAGGTCCTTTTTCAGAGACCCCACCACCCATCCAAATTTTAAACTGATTTAACATCAAAATGGTAGGCAGATCTTAATTTTTTAACTCACCTTCTACCTCCCCCATACAATTAATTATGGAATAGTCCTAACGGTAGCTCTAAATCATGACATGTAAATTGTCACTGATGAGGAAAAATGTGAATTTCTGGATGTACAAACCATTGACAGTTGTGTCTCTGGTTTATTGATTATTGAGATAACTTATTTTGAAGTTGTTAAATAGAAATTCCACAAAATTGACATGGTCAAGATGTCAGATCTTGAATTGTTAGTAAAAAAACAAAATAGAATGGATTAAAGGGGTATGGAGGTAAAGAAAGAATTATTTTTCCCTGTATAAGAATCGTTGATATACTTACCAGTGTATTGTTACTTTAAGGTATACTACAATATGATTGCCATTGCGAATTAATAGGTGTATGAGAAAGCGCAGTCCGAGGAACTCACCGCAGATATCGTAGTTAAGGAATTCCACCGTTTATATGGTGATGCAGAGGAGGGGACAGTTTTTGGAGAAGACGATGACTACAATACCCTCAGAAAGGTTTGTTCATGTCTATAATCTACTGTTTACATAGGTTTGCCCATGTCCGTCCCGTCCTGTCCCATCTATGAGTGGGGGCATTTATGTCTTACTGACATGTTCTAGATTGATACAATTTTTATAAGTATTTACAATGTACAAGACTAAGACTGAATGTGAATTAGAGAGAAATCTGCTAATAATTGTTCCAGTGATAGAAATATAACTGCCGTTCTAAAGAAACCAGGAATATGATCTATTAAAAGAGGTTCCATGAGTGGCTGTTAATTTTGCTAAGCTTGTCCTTCCAGGCCTCCAATGACTTTGTGTCCAAGTCGGGCCTGAAAGATTTCCCTCAGGTGCTGATGAACGGTGTGCCCATGGACAAGAAGTACCTGACAGAGGAAGCGTTTGAGGAGGGTGTGGTTTCTACAATCCTTGCCCACACTCCAGCTATACAGAAGGCTGTGTACCAGGGAACACTTCATGACTTTGTCAACGTTCAGGAATGGCTCATGGAGCGCGACAATGTTCTCCCGAGGCTGAATTCAAGGGTCCTCACACCAGCAAAGAAATCGCTGGATTTCACCCTTAGACTGGGTGTGTACTGATGCTGAGATACTGTAGACAGAGAAATTTTTGCAAGAGAATAATTTTCACTGTTTCCGCCCTCCCAAATATTATAAGGGAGAATTTATCATGATAACAAATATTAGTCAACAACATACTAAACACAGCAATTACGTAAGAAGGGCAAAGTTAACACTGGGCCAATGTGGATTTTACCAGTGAATGACAAAAAGTTGTCTGGATGAAAGTTTGTCTGGATGAAAGATTGCCTGGACAAAACTTTGTCAGGATGAAACTTTGTCTAGACAAAAGTTTGTCTGAATGAAACTTTGTCTTGATGAAACTTTGTCTAGACAAAAGTTTGTCTGGATGAAACTTTGTCTGGGATGAAACTTTGTCTGTATGAACGTTTGTCTGGATGAAACTTTATCTAGACAAAACTTTGTCTGGATGAATGTTTGTCTGGGTGAAAGTTTGTCTGGATGAAAGTTTGTCTAGACAAAACTATGTCTGGATGAAAGCTTGTCTGGATGAAAGTTTGTCTGGGATGAAAGTTTGTCCGGATGAAAGTTTGTCTGCGTATCGTATTTTGGTTAAAAATATTTCCTCTGAGATTAATTTCTTTTCAAAAGTCGACATTTAAACTTTTTTTGGATCCAGTTTTAAAAACAGTTTAATTGAAACCTTGACTTTCACTCTTTTAATAAAGGTGAATCTACTTGCTGTGCTAAAATTTTCTGTCAATTTTTATTGTCTGTTGTTACAGAAGCTAATGTTTACGGTGATGTGGATCAATTTAGTGTGCTGAACACCAAAGCCATGACTTCCATAATGACACAGAATATGAAATATCTGACAAGGAAAGGTGAGATTGTCCAGATCCCTAGCAACAGCTTTAGGTCTTAATAAAAAAATGTCTGTTTCCACAATCCTTTAATTTTTCACTGTTTGTAATTATGTCTTGTGATATATAATAGAGTTATGTCCGACAGATTAAGCTTCACCTGAGTGTAATGCATTATTTTGTCACTTGTTAGTGTGTTATTAAGCACTTTATACCTCTTCATTTTTGCAAGAAATTAATCTTAATTCATGAGTGAAATCCAATCTTTTGTGATTATTAAATTGCTAATTTATTACATTGAAATACCATCCTCTTAAGTCTAAATAGAATTATTCTTGAATAAAACCTTCAGGCAAATATACAAAGTATGTAATTTCCAATATTTATCTGAGTCCCCATTCATGAAAATCTTATTTACAGAATTTTTAATTTTGAACTCTTCTGTAATTGAGGTGCAAGGCACATAATTTTATACCCTTAAGTTAGTTTCCACATTTCTTATGTTTGCAAATTCAGAATGCATTTTCTGTCAATGAAAAGACATATTGTTCAATTTTGTTATCACATCTGATTAAACTTCTTGATATTTCAACAAATTTAGATTTAAACAGATTTGATTGATGGTTTTACAGATGAAGACATGCTCCGCCCTGTGACCATGTGGGTTGTTTGTGACCTTGAGACTGCTGAAGGTCGTGATTTGTTGTACTCGGCTCTTAAACAGCTGGTAGGTTGACCTGATTTAGGTATATGATCATTAATTGTGCATTATGATAAAAAACAGACACAAGTATTGGCTTTATATACTGTAAAACCTGCCTTAACCAACAATCGGAGGATCCTAATCATTTCGTTAAATATTTTGTGACTGTCTGTGAAATAAGTTCATCATAGATATTTATTGGCATCAGTTTCGTTAAACATTGCTACATTTTGTGGGAAGTCTTGACCAAAAGAAGAGATATTTATTGTAAATATATTCCATATTGTCATAAATATATGTCTGTAAAACAACACTTTTTACTCATGTCTACCACGAATCATGAATATAGAAATGTTAGTTTTCCATCAAGCAAAATGAGTGATGTTTTTCCTGTGTTAAACAGAAGCACACCCATGACCTGAGAGTAGGTGTGGTATTTAACAGCCAACTAGGGAAGACAGAGAGCGCCTTCACTATATCCCGCGCTGTGTATGCCGCTCTCACCACCCTTGAGCCAGGTATAGCCAAATCTTTTATCACCAAACTGGTTAAGGAGGAAAACGTGAAGGATATCCTGGCTCACAGCAAACAACTCAGTGACTTTGAGGTCCATGTAAGTATTGGCTAATTATACCCCCGCTTCGACGAAGTCGGGGTATATAGTGTTTGCTTCTCCTGTCCGTCCATCCGTCCATCTGGGTGTCTGTGCATCTGTCCGTCTGAAAGGTTACCGGAGCATATCTCCCGTACTATTTCACCTACGGTTATGAATCTTGGTTTGTAGGTACATGCATGGAAGGCGGGGTGTTTACTTGATTCTTCCTATCCACATGCTCATCACTCCCACCAATTCCTGATGAATCAAAGCGGGGGTATTCACGAAGGCCCCCCTTCGAGTTACATGTAGTTTTATATTGACATAAAGTCATTGTCTTTAAAGTGTATTTTGGGGAGCAACAAGTCTTCTCTGAAATAAATCATTTTTAGCTTGCCTATTGGAAATAAGAGCTGATGCTGTATCAAGTTGAGTCTTCGATGATAGTGTTCTTAAGGCTTGCCTTTGATTTAATATGTCAAATAGAATATTGATACTTTACATAGAGGTTCTTTGGGGAAATATTTCTAAAAAAAAATCACTTGTTTAATAGGAAGTTTATCAGGTGTGACAAAGCAATACTGTGAAGGTTGTTTTTTTGCCAGTTCTATTTTTTATGATTTTTGCGTCAACAATTTTTCCTCAAACAATACAACCGGAAAAATATTAGCTGATTAGCACATAACATTATTTCTTTGTGCTATGGCCACTTCGACTGAAAACCATGAGGATATGATCCAGTGAAAAATGACAATTTAAGCAAATCCATGAAAATTAGGAACCGCAAAAAAAAGGACTTTTACAGTAATGTATACTGTAAACAGGGAAAACTTTCACCGAGTCAAATATTGGCCATTCACATGTTATTACCATATAAAAATAATAATAAAATAATAATAAAATATATAAACTGTGTACTACTGTAACATTCTCTGTCATAAATTCGCCCTTATTGCAAAGGGCGGAAAAGGTGAAAAAATACACTGCAGTGAAAATTTCCAAGTAAACAGGACAACATAAGGTTGTTCTGTCACCATCCCTAGTCTAGGGCCTGTTTATGATGTGTCTGTATGTTGACAGGGTATGGACACCATGTCCTACATGCTGGCAGCAGAAGTACAGACGACAGACTTCCTCAAGGTTCACCGAGCGTTTGTTGATAAAGCCTTAGGCTGGGACGAGTCGGCCAGAGGAGTATTAGCTAATGGCCAGGTAAGTCAAGAAAAATAAACTAAGTTACATGCTACAAATTGCATAATATTCACTTATTTTTACAAATAATTATTATTGCACATATTAATGTTTACAAAATCCTTGGCAATTATGATTCAAACAACTTTTTTTATAAGAGCTGCCAAGTTGTTTAAAAGATATGTTAAATCAAGACATTTTTCCCCTGAAGATACTGGGACCCCTGGACAAGGATGAGCGATTCATACCTGAGGATGTGGACTTGTTCCAGAAATATGTTTTCCAGAATTCTGCCAAGAAAATAAAGGGTCTTCTCTCCGTGCTTGGCCACAAAGATGACAAGTAAGAAAGCTATTGGACTCATTGGTTCAGAGACTTTATCAGTTACACACGGGTGTGTAGTACAAGAGTCTAGATATTGACTTTTAGTCCCCCACAGGGTCTCCCAACACGTTTGTACGCCATTCATTAGTCTGTCAGTAGATCAGAACGTTTCTCATGTCCTTTGTCACCTACAATTGGCAAGTTTTACATGCAAGTGCACCATCACCTATTAAATTTTGTTCTCATGCCGTACTGTATACAGAGTTATTTCCAATTGTTCGCCATGCATCACTTTGTCTGGGACATAACTCCTATACTTTGTCACCTACAGTTGTAACATTGGTATGTGAGTACCTCATAGGATGATAAAGAGTTCCATACTGAAAAAGGTGTCATGCAGCACTAATTTAGTCCATATGAATACAGGCCGCCGAAGCTGTCTGTTGTAAAACACAGCCTAGTGATTGAATACAAGCTTTAGTTTTGCCCTCCATGTTTTATTTTAATTTTAAATTGTTCCAAGTAAAAAAAAAAAAATCTTAGCATAACTTCTTTCAAGTGAAAATCAGAAACAATATATAAACCAATGTATAAATAGAGTACCAGGGAAACCTCTGGGGTTCTTTGTCATTTTAAGTACAGCAACATCTAAAGCTTTGTGTGTTTTACAGGGGCAGTGACCTAGTGATGAAGGTAGCAGCTCTCCTCAGTCAGTCAGGGTCGACAAAAGAGAGAAAAGAGGTTCAGTACGCTGGTGATCAACACAGGTAAAAAGTCCACAACTAGGTTGTCTCCCATTCATGTCACAATGGCAAACTTCTTTTTTATGCCCCTGCCATAAAATGGGGGGGGGGAGCAAACAGTGTTGCCCATGTCCGTCCCGTCCCATCCATGAGCAAAGGCATTTATGTCAGACATTTTTCTGTATATGAATTCCCCTCATTGTGGAAACATTATAAACTTTGATTGCTTCAGTGTAAATTGTTATGTATTAAAACACAACAGAGTTGTCTCCCTTCCTGTCCATCAACATTTTTTTCCAAACAATTCTTGTCATATCCTGGCTGTCAATCTAAAGCATAATGTCTCAGTTAATTTCTGCACATTGAGTTTGTACTTTTATTTCAAAAGCACTGTTTATGTAAAAGAAAAAAGAAATTATTTGATTCTCTTAGTTAAAGGTTAATTACACTTTTAATTGAAATCTCTTACAGATAAATCTCTTTTAAATCATTTTTTTTTATGTCAAAGAATTTTATTATAATGTATAAGATATCTGATATCAGGAATACATTAGATTGATTTTTTTTTGAGTTTATTTCACTAGAAGAGACAATCATGAATTATATATTACATGACCATGACCAATTATTTAGGACTGTTCAATTCTCTTTAGTGTCATCAAACTGCCTGCAGATTCAGGAACCCCCGCCTACCAAGTGGAGGTCATTATTAATCCAGCCTCGCCAGATGCCCAGAAAATGTCGGCCATCCTCATGGTGAAAACTAAGTCTATTTTTACATCTTGGTTAAAATAATGCTCGTAAAATATTATTAACTGTTTTTTAATCATTTTTGCATTAATTCGTGATACTGAAGAGAGAGAAAATTCTATTTCAGAAATCTTTCAAAAAATTATCCAGAAACAAATATAGAAGGAAAGAAACACTTGTTCCTTTTCATGAATTCAAATACTTGCAAACATGTAGTTGCAAGAATCTAACAATAATAAGAACATTTATATGCATGAAAATTATTAGTTATTTACTGCTAATATGAACGATGCCTTTTGCCATTTCATGACTGAATTCTAAAGAAAACACAGCAAAAAGAATTTCAATTTTCAAATCATCTTTCTATAGATTTTGGAGGAGGTTGCGAATGTGGACATCAAAATATTTATGAACTGTAAAGACAAACTGTCCGAGCTACCTGTGATCACGTAAGTACTGTTTCTATCTCACAAAAAACTGTCAGAGCTACCTGTGATCACATAAGTACTGTTTCTATCTCACAAAAACAAAGCTGTGAGTGGAAGTTGTGTAATTCAGATTTTCTAGTTTGTCTCAGGACTCAGGGTGAAACTTGGTCAGAAACTCTATACCTTATGTCACAACAGGACTGATTGAAATTTGAATTTTTGTTAATATTTTGATGTTAAACTTGAAAGGTAAAGAAGGTTTTCTGACAGAGGTATTTGACTTTAAAATTGGATATACCTGCGTAATCTATCTGGACTTATCTTCAATGTTATCCTCAGCAATTTAAAAATATCCAGTTGATAAATTTTATGTAATCTATAAGGAGCTTTTTCAATGTAGTATATATTTTAGAGGAACATTCAAATGAATAGCATAATGATAATTTATATAAGGGAGACAACTAACAGGAAATTGTACAAATGTCTAAGGAATCATATAACCTTGAGTCTAGTATATCAGTGATGAATCAATAAAATAACTTCAGTAACTATTTTACTAAAACTGTAATGGAGAGACTATCTAATATTATCATACTGATACCCCTAGGGCAATAAATATATTTCATGTTAAATGAAATGCCTGTATAATATAAGTGGATAAATACATGCAAATCGCAAGTAGAGAAAGCTCCATGAGGCATCTTCACAAGCCAGAACTGGCTTGGGTTAGGTAAAATTATGTCCTTGTAATTTGAATCTTGTTTCCAATTTTTTCTTCGACAGATTTTATCGATATGTGTTAGAGCCGACTATAACATTTAAAGTAGACGGTTCCTATTCAGAAGGTCCCATAGCCAAATTCACCGACATGCCTACCAAGTCCCTACTAACCCTAGGAATGAATCCGTCCGAGAGCTGGTTGGTGGAGGCAGTGTCTGCCCCTTATGATCTTGACAACATTTTGTTAGAAGAGGTAAGTGAACTGATAACGGGACATCACTGCAAACTAGAAAATATTTCTGTCTAGCAACTTACTGTGGCCTTTCTTTGGCACTACAACTGCAGTATATGTAAACAAAAAATGTTTGCATCCTATAAATGTTCACCCGTTTTGCCTTTTAAATCAAGAGAATTTTTTATGCAGCAAAAATCATCCTTCCTCACCCACCTGAAAGATTAATTGTAGTTAAATATTCATAAATTCATGTTAAAATAAATCGCCTCTTGACTTGAATCAGTGAATTAATTGCAGAACATCTAAATTTAATGGAGTGCGTTTGACCGGAAATGTGAAATTTAAGTATATCTAAATTAGAAATGTTCTTAGATTTTAGACATTTTGAGATACCAAGCCTGCTCTTTTATAAACAAACAGGGATAAATATAAATAATTACTATAAAATAATACATTTTTAAAGAAATTGATTGTAGACAAGAAAACTTTACACAAAGAAAAATACAAAAAATAAAGAATTATATAAAAGGTCAAATTATCAAAGACCTATGGAAGAACTGTTGTAACTTTTCCATCATTAAATACAATGAATTGAAATCTAATCCTGATGATAATTATCTTTATTAGACCAAGACTGGAATACATGCTGACTTTGACTTGGAGTACCTACTGTTGGAAGGTAAGCTCAAACTTATAAATCATTTAAGTTTTTTTGTGGCAGAGAAGCCACTTGACAATATCAAAAAATGTTCAAAAACTGCTCACAATTACCTCTGTTTGTCAAAATAGTAGCATAGAATGTCATAGCTGTGAACAGAAACCAAGATTTAAGATAATTCTGCTATTAATTTCAAAAGCCAGAAATTGAGGTGAAAATTGCAAATCTTCATCCTAAATAATACCAGGTAGACAACTTAAAGGTCCCAGGGTTTAATTTATGTGATATTTGGAAAAAAAGTCTTTAAACATTGATTTATCTTTATCACTTTATTTTATTAAGTACTTATCAGATTGCATTGGAAAAAAACAAAGCTCTTGATCTAAATATGATTTAATTTAAAAGAATTTTTAAGATATGTGAACTTTGAAAAGAATCAGACGGGAAGAACATATATACTTGGTTTAAAAATTGAGAGACTTGTCAAGTTTTCAGGCGAAAATTTTCTCCATGCACAAATGTTTATCAAGATGTAAAAAATGTAATTTATGATATAAAAATATCATATTCTCTGTACAGGCCATTGCTCCGACAGTACGACAGGACAGCCGCCACGAGGACTCCAGTTTACACTCGGTCGTAACAGGACAGAAGCTGCTGTAGACACAATCGTCATGGCAAATCTGGTAAGTAGCATTATGGGATAGATTTTGGAAATACTATTTTCGTATGGAATTGAAAATGGAAATAAAATTTCCTATATATTTTATATTGCAATCCTTGCAGAAAAGTTGATTTAAGAGACATTGGGACATGTTTTTCAGAATCTGTTTTGGTCTTTGTTTTAGGGTTACTTCCAGTTGAAGGCCAATCCGGGTACTTGGTTCCTGAAGCTGAGAGAGGGAAGATCACATGAGCTATATGATATAGCAAGGTACTGTCCCATAGGTTCCAAGTGCTAAATTTTGAAAGATTTTAATCAAATTAAGTAAGTTGTGGTATATGGGAAAAACAGCTTATGTGATGGCTTAATTACACAAAATAATAGTTGATTATGATGATAATAAAATTTTAAACACTTTTCTTCCAAATAGTCATGAGTTCACAGACACACCAGACGGATCTGATGATGTTGTTGTGGTGATGAACAGCTTCAAAAGTAAAATAATAAGGCTTAAGGTAAGTTGACAGTTTTGAAAATATCTGGCATATGGTCAAAATGCATGACAGTTGATGAATTTTACTCAAATTAATTTTAAATGATTGAAATTTCTCCACCGTCAATTTAATTTAGAACGATAGAATCAACACAGGTCATGTATTTTGGGTGTGCATTGCTTTATATATATTTGATAGAGAAAGAAATACCCATGTCGACAATAAATGGAGGTGTCTGATCAACTCTAATTCAAGTTTAACATGTTTCCTCCCGCTTTCTCTGTCAAACGTTGGTACATATCCATGTCTCTTTAATTACTTCATGTAGTCAGTTAAAATTGTTAATTATAATACATTTTGAATTTTAAATGATATCCTCAATCATTGCTTTGTTACAGGTTGCTAAGAAACCTGAAAAGAGTGGGGAACAGTTACTTGTGGATGACGCGGAGCGAGGAATCTGGGAATCCATTTCTAGGTATTGTACATGTTGTCGTTAAATGCAATGTTTTCAGTAGAGTTGGTTATCAACTCATTCACCCCTGAAATTTAAGAATGAACTATTCCAACCTTTGAATTGGAAGAGTTCAAATGTGTCTTCAGGGGTGAATGAGTTAACCCAGGTGACAATAAGACAGATGAAACAGCATCCAATATCTAGTAAATAGTTGGGCTTGATGTATACAATTTCAATCACAAAATTTTTAAGGTTTTGAGTTTGTTTATGAGCTATTGAGTATTTCAGGAAAAGTATTTGTGTTTACAGTTTCAAAAGTCTCATAAATAGCAAGAAGATAGTACATCTGTACAATGTTTTCTAAATCTAGTGAGTGTGTAATAACCAAAGATGTATACCTTGCTAAAACTATGAGCTTCATACTGCACCGATTTTCCCAATTAATCTAGAGTGAAAATATCAATCTTTAAAAGTGGAAATTTTATAACATTTCTTTTCACACAAATTTAGAGACTGAAAACATTCTTTTAAATAAAAGGGGAGAAATGCAGCTGAGCATAATACTGTGGGTTTACAAGATTTTTATGGGTACTTCAGTAATGTTTTGGGTATCATTAGAAACATAGTCAATATTTTTGCTCGACTCCTGTCATCAGGCCTTGCACATTGCTATATCGCTATCAGAAAATAAAAGAACTGTATTTGAAGGTGTCATCTCCATAACATCCTGACCAATCAGAACACTCTACAACTAACCTTTCTAGCTCATGGACATACACATTTCAATAGGGAATGCAGACTAAGTACCATAATTACCCTGCAATAATGCCAGGAGGCCATTACATAATCCGATTCTAGTAAATTTGGTGGGCTTAATACAGGACCAAAAGTTACTACTTGTTTGCATTTCTACTGATAATGATATGGGTGGGCTTATTCCGTCTTTGCGTATTGCAGAGTTATCTTCTCTTGGGAGCAGGTATTGATTGTTACGTCATTGCTTTGTGTGAGAAAATGACGTCGTTTACTCAAAAAGTGATGACGTTACTCTCACAAACAAGTGACGTAACAATCAATACCTGCTCCCAAGAGAAGATAACTCTGCAATACGCAAAGACGGAATTGCCAGATAAGCTGATTGTTGGATAAATAGAGGTTCCCCAACGAATGATGGTTGGTTATCATGTTTATCTAACTCAAGTTAGTTAATTTTCAAATTGTATAAAGGCACGAGGTTTACCTAGTGTCTTTTACTATTTGAAAATTAACTAATGAGAGTTAGATAAACATGATAACCTACCATCACGAGTTTGGGGTCTTTTTTCTCNTTGAAGATGACGTCGCAAAGCATTGTTACGTGACGTCATAAGTAAAAAATTGACCAATGAAATCACGGCCAGGGTGTTTCCTACTCCCATAACATGAGAGGCCGCTGGTCGGCCTTTTTTCAATCGGATATGATTTTGCCGACTGCGACGCGCTTGTCAAAAGTTTTTCGCCGTGTAAGACCTCTAACATTGTTGGAGTAGGGTGTTACCCAATAATGGGTAACCAAAAATGTTTACCAACTCCTGGCAGGTTTATCCAATGAATCGGTAGTGAGGGGGTTGTGGGAGGAAAACAGTATGACATTATAAATTGATCCTACCTGCTATCAGCTATTAATATGTTGTTGAATACATTACAAAATATATGTAGTTCATCCTCATCATTATCCATCTAGGTACAATACCAAATGTATGTTAATGTTCGTTCCTTTTTACAGTACGCTGACTGGAGATAAAGCTGAGGATGATGGTGACAAGACACTCAATATATTTTCTCTTGCCTCGGGACACATGTATGAGCGGCTCATGAGGTGAGTTTGCTATAAAAAGACTTGTCATATATTTGGAGGAATAAAACTTAACATCAACATCATCAACGATCTGAAGTAAAATTTTGTGATTATTCCTCCAGTGAAATGTAAGAAAGGATTTTAATTAGCATCAAAACGACTTCAGTCAAACCTGCTCGTAGGAACACCTCTATTAAGAGACCACCTGTGTTAAGAGACCAGGTAAAATATTCCAGGACAAGTAACTAATACCTTCTTATTTCTTATTGTTTTCAGGATTATGATGATGAGTGTATTGAAGAACACCAAATCAAAAGTGAAATTCTGGTTTTTGAAAAATTATCTATCACCATCTTTTAAGGTAAGTTCAGATAATGAAGTGTATAATTTAATATTATGGAGTTATTAATTGTTTCATGGTACAGAGATCGACATAAGAAGTTTTGTGGAGTATCAACGAATAAATTACAGTCTATGATTCTTAGTTTTTGCTTCACAATTTTCAAACTATTTTATCTCATTTCTTTAACTTTTATTGAGTCATCTAAACAATGCAAATAAATCGGATAAGAAAAAATTGCTTCTGAAAAAAATCATAAAAAAAACCAAATAGGCTCAAGCTCTCAACAGAAAAAAGGTTCAAATAGTGCAACACAAATCTAGTGGTATTCAAGTCTGTTAAGTTTTTCTATTTATTTCAAATACGTCATCTTTTACCTTTTTAAATATTCGTTCTGATTTGTTGCAGGATTTTATACCTAAGATGGCTCAGGAATATGAATTTGAGTTTGAATTAATTCAGTACAAATGGCCACGATGGTTAAATCAACAGAAAGAAAAACAAAGAATTATGTGGGGGTTGGTACCATTTGTATTTATTTTTTTAATTATTTCTTGATAAGCTGGTGTTTCTTTGTGATACTGGAATTGAAGAAAAAAGTGGTAATTTTGAAAGGAAAAAAAAATGAAAGAATTATTATAAATAAATTGAGTTTATTTATTTTTCAATCAAATTATGTTTGAAAATTTGACTGTAATTTTGTGATGGTACATAATTTATTTCAGAAAATTTGATAAAAATATCAGTTTTCAAAATATTTTGGAAGGTATAAGTTTTGTGTGATTTTTTGTTTTCAGATATAAAATATTATTTTTGGATGTGCTGTTTCCATTAGATGTAAAGAAAATTATATTTGTGGATGCTGATCAGGTATGTAGTAAAAATATGATATTCGACGATCACATAATTACTAGGTGATATATTTATAGACTAGGTAATTGTACTAGCTATAGGTATTATATTGTTTTCAATGCTGTCATTTCCTTGTATGTTGGCGAGATATACGGCTATGGTGATAAACAAACAATTGAATTTTGAACGAAACAATATCTGGAATGTTGTTATCAGATTCCTTTAATTTAAAACACATGATTCCTAACCAATGAAAAATGTTGTAACATTGCTGGCATGATGGAACTAAGAAATAATCAATATATGTATATGTCTAATGGTGGAATGTGAAACCAGGATGAGAAAGTGGAAGAAATAATTATCAAAGGCCATTTCAGTTTTAACAAATCGCAATTTCAAATATCCCAAAATAGGAAATTATATAAGACACTTTTTTACTTTCCTTTATTCCAGATTGTACGTACAGATTTACAAGAGCTAAACGACCTAGATTTAGGTGGCGCCCCCTATGGTTACACACCATTCTGCAGCAGTCGCACAGAAATGGATGGATTTAGGTATTGTAAAAATTGGCATACTTATAAAAAGTAGGGGTTTATTTAATTGAAAATGTTATATGTTCATGATTTTAATACAAATATATTATCATCCCAAAAAAGTATATTTGTATGTGTAAATATATAGGTTGGTGTCATTTTATGCAATATTTTCATGTTTTTCAGATTTTGGAAATCTGGTTATTGGGCCAGCCATTTAGCAGGAAGGAGATATCATATTAGGTAAGATGGCTTCGTTAAATATTGATAATAAAAGTAAAACACCAATTTGAAGTTTTAAAGACAGTAAAAACTGCCAGTCTCCAAATCATTGGTTCAGGTTTTGGTGAAGGCTTTTTAACATTTAGTCATATATGCAATATTTGCATGGTCACTTCATTTTCATCAAGACCTGTCAGGGATATATACAGGCCTTTTTATGGCTGATTATGGGCCAATTCTCCTCTCCAATTTTGGCATTACTTTCCCCTATTTCAGTTAAAAATTTCCCCACATGTAACTAAAATACTACCACATGATGATTATCTGTCATGGTTCTATTGTGATTATATTTTCCGTTAGTTTGACGACCAAGTGATTTATTTCATTTTCCCTGTGTTGATGTTGTCGCTGTCGATATTTTACGACACTGTTTTTGACTGGCCTTGTTAACAGTTAATGATTCGATTCTATTTATCCAACAATCAGCTTATCTGGCAATAAGCCCGACCATTCTATAACAGGGAGAACCACAATTTAAAGATGTCATATCCATGCCCCTCCTTGTTTTTAAAGTTCTTAAGAAAATATGATTTATAAGTGTACAACTGATTCAAACTACATCAATGAAAAAGCCCCTTGTAACTTTCTGTTTATCAAATATCTTTTTTAAAGTTTTTAAGGAAAACTTTTTTCAACATTTCAACAACAACAACCAAAATCTTACACTGTTTTACTCCTTTGATGTTTCAGTGCCTTATATGTGGTAGATCTGAAGAAGTTTCGGCGTATTGCTGCAGGCGATCGTCTGCGAGGCCAGTACCAGGGTCTGAGCCAGGACCCCAACAGTCTGTCCAATCTTGACCAGGACCTTCCAAACAACATGATACACCAGGTCGCTATCAAGTCACTGCCACAAGAGTGGCTCTGGTGTGAAACCTGGTGCAGCAACGAGTCCAAGGCCAAGGCTAAAACTATAGATTTGGTGAGTTGTCTCCCCTGTAGATCAAGACATCTAGTTTGTTTGTGCTTTACGTCCTATAAACAACTAGCTAGGGTCATTTAAGGACAAGCCAGGTATTGGTGTTGCATTTCTGTATTTCTCCTTGGTCCGTTTCAAGACGTCGGCCCCTTTCACGTATCCGGTTCAGCTTTTTGTCTATATTTAAATGTAACATTTGCGAGTATAAATCCTGTCAAACCTTGAAAAGTTTATGCAGGCTTTGATCGCGATAAACAAATGTAGCCTTGGTATGTGTGTCCTATGGTCATTCAAGCTAGGTTTTGGAGTTGCAATCCAGTGTTCTAGTTATTATAGAAGGTGCAATATTTCTCCTTGGTCCATTTCAAGACAGGGTCGGCTTTCATTTATCCATTTCAACTGCTTGAAACTGAGTAGAACCAAAAGACACCATGCTAGGGATCCTGTCCTGGCTGTAACCAAATGGCTAACTATTGCTAGTTTTGTGTAATTTCTACTAAAATCAAGGTCAATTAAAAGATTTGTCTACGTTTATCTACCCTGCCTGTCTAAGCTGTCACAAGTGAGATGCTATCGTCAAGAAAGAGTTGGAAGTAGTTTCTATGCCAAATCTAGAGACCAGGGGCCTGTTCGTTTATGCAGAACAACAGGTTTGACCATTTATAAATGTAACAGTTTCGGGTATAAATCCTGGCGGACCTGCAAATGCCTATGCAGGCCTTGCAAGACTTTGTCAAGGCTCGCCTGAAAGCAGCATCAGATTACTAGGTCCAACCTTATTTAATAAATAAACAACAATGGTCCAACCGGTTTGACCGTTTAAACGAAAACGGCCCTGGTGTAAACTGCCTTTCCTGTCTAGATTTTAATATACCCCACCCCCTGTCCGTCTAGGTTTTGTGAGTTATCTCCCTTGACAGCTATGAGGCTCAGAGAGTTATTCCCCTGATTTTTTAGGGTTTGTGAGGTGTCTTCTCTGTCTGTTTAGGTTTAGTGAGCAATATGCCCAGTTATTGCCCATCATACCATTATAATACCTCTAGATCACTGCCTCACACATACAGTAAATGTTTAAACATTTATTGCTAACATGTTGTTTCTTTCTTTTTTAGTGCAATAATCCTCAGACCAAAGAACCTAAATTAAAAGCAGCACTTCGTATAGTACCAGAGTGGAAAAATTACGACTACGAAATTAAGATATTATGGGACAAAGTTTACAAAACCAATACAAGATCTCAGATAGAATATGACCCTCCAGATATAGAGACATCAACGATAGGTATGTATGGAAATTTAGAGTTATCTCCCTTTTGTATAAAGGATTTTTTGATAGAGTACAACCTCAGTATTTCTATTTGACAATCTCCACTTTATATTCTATTATTCCAGATTTTAATTTGATTGCCATATCTGAAGTTAAAATATATCGAATATTTTGTTTTCTGCTTTCTTTTTAAATCTTTAATGTGTTTTTGTTTTGTTTACAGGCTCAAAGATAAAAGACGAGTTATAAATGTACTGTTACGGCTGTCAAGAGAGATGACTTAATGATCATATGTGGAATGTCTGTGTGAAATTGTGAATGTGTGTTTCATGAGTTAAACTTGTGTGAAAGTTAATGTTTATGGCTTGGGAGTGAGGAGAGAGATTATGAGATGTAATTGCCTCAATCTGATTTAAACTAGATCTTGACCTCCACTCAGATACTTTAGGATAGTCTTCAGATAGACTGGACCAGCGGCCTACTCATTTATGCAAACCAACTGGTGCAGCTGTTTCAAAAAGAAATATTTCAGGGAGAAAATCTGACAGACCTACAAATGTTAATGCAGCCCTTGAAAGTCTATGTCAGGGCTTGGCAGAAACAGTTTCAAATCACTAGGCCCGTCCTTATTGAATAAACAAACATATCTGATCTAACTGCTCCAACTGATTGGAACAGGATTTAAAAAAATGGCCTAGACATTGACCTCTCTAATTATAAAATCTAGATGGACTGGTCTAGATCTTGACCTCTCTAATTATAATATCTAGATGGACTGGCCTAGACCTTGACCTCTCTAATTATAGTATCTAAATGGACTGGCCTAGACCTTGACCTCTCTAACTATAATATCTAGATGGACTGGCCTAGACCTTGACCTCTACAAAGAGATCTGAGGAATGCTGTCTCAGAACATTCCACGCTCACACTGGGACAAAACCCCTTGCCATTTGTGTAAAAGGCCAATTGCTGAACTGCTGGACCAATCAAACCATAGGTTAGTTTAGTTCACCTCTATTTGACCACTGGGCAGTCTTCTGAGATCTGATGTATCATAAAGTATAGAGTGGCCATTAAGGTATAGATACAATGAGATCGTGCAATCATGTTCGTTATAAATTGGAAACCTTTGAATATGCATGCGCTGATCTCAGCTGTTGATAAATGATCGTACTTTGTCCTGTGATTATCAATGTCTTAATCCATCAGTAAAATGTTCAAAATGCACGTGTACAAGTATCTATAAGAGTAAGATTTTCCATTCTTCATTATGTATGCATGCAATTTTTCTATGTTGAAAAACAGATGAAAACATGACCGTTAGTGGAATATTTCTCACACTTGTATATTACACATTTAATGCCCTTGTTGTAGGGAAACATCCTTCTTGTTTCCCAGAAGTCAATCCTGTTTCATGACAGCACATGATCAATTGAGGGGAAACAAAAAATCATGTTTCCCCAACACAAGGGAAAACAATATTTTATTATACCAAAAAAGAACAATAACACAACAGTAAAGAGGATCTGGTTTCTGCACCACTGTTGTCCTCTCCTTCAGTCGGTCAGAACTCTGGCCTGGTGCCTCTTGCTCATTTTTCCTAGAGAGGAATGAATGAGGGAAGTATGACTGGAGAAACTTGAGTACATGAGGGAAACACAGTGATTTATCTCACTGTCACTTAATCAATATAATCCAATCAGAATTGCTGTTATATATATGAGATATTATGATATGTATCGGAAACCTTTTAACAAATACCCAGTCAATCAGTTTATGTTTTGATGCTACCAGAGCTCTTCCTACATTAATAAAGGGACTACTCTAAAATAAAATACCTTTTACAACACTGTTTGGAATATGAAGAGAAATTGTCATCTCATTACTGATTAGAAAGGCTAGACATTGTTATTAATTTCATAAAGTTAATAGTATATTTACCTGTATTTTTTCGTCATCTGCAATCCATTTAGATGATGTAAAAGATTCCATTTTTTCTATTAAAAACTGTCCCTGAAATCAATGTGTTCATAATCCAGCCACTTCAGCTGGAAATGAAGATGGCAGGATTAATGAAATTCCGTGGTATCTACTTCCTAATTATTGAAACTGTTCTTTCTAAATAAATGTTATGATGAATTGATACATATGTAGTATTGGTGATAACAGTAAATTACTTATGTTTAGTTTGGTGTAGTTTTTACGTTTTCATTATTGATGATAACATAATCTAAAATAATGTCTTCTTGGTGAAAAAATGCCATGGGTTCATGACATTGGGCTTTCCCTGATCCATAGTATAGTGATATAAAGGGGACATGTAATATATTGAGTGAGATATATTAAGAATTTTTAAGAAAAAATGGGATATTGAAATAGGTAGGAAATGAGTGTTCAGTACATGCAGTCAAACTTGCTTATCCTTCCACTACATTTAAGAGAAAATCTGTGTTAAGTGACTTATTTTAATGTTCCTCATTGTAGTGGTTTTATTTTGAACTGAACTTGTATTGATTGGTTTAGTGTTGCTAGGTAACTGTATCAAATATTTTCCTATGCTGATATTTTGGGACCAATCTCCATGTCTGTATAATCACGGCATTAATTTTTAAAAAGGGTCAAATGTATTCATTATAAAATTGTTTTGGATTTTCAATTTCAAAATTTAGCACGTCACCTATTTTTCTGTTACCAGTGATTGTAAGTTGGTGGTAACCATTGATAGCTTCACATGTTTACGTACGTATGTCTTGTCTATTGAAACATGACTATTGTACAGTATATAATAACTCATTCACCCCTGAAATTTCATAATGAACTATTCCAACCTTTGAATTGGGAGAGTTCAAATGTGTCTTCAGGGGTGAATGAGTTGCCATGGGTTTTGTTCGTTTGTTAAAAAAACAGTTATTGCTGGCCTTAATTGTTTTTTTCTTTGAAAATGTTCCATAGAATATTATTTATAAAAAGATATTTCTAAGTTATTCAGTGATTTTAATCCATAATCTTTCTTCTTTTTTGTGTGTGTGTTAAAATATCAATCTTAACACCTAAGACATTGTGGATATTTCTATTGAAACAAAAATCCAAACCAAGATTTGTGTTTACTGGAAAAGAAAAAATGAAGAAATAAATGGAAAAATAAGTTTTTATTAAAACAAATTCATATGTGGACATTTATGGCACCATCAAGGCATCTTCTTTTTCTGCATTGTCATTTTATCATAAACCTCATCTTCATTCTGTTTTCTAGGTTGAGTGTTTAAGGGTCATTCTCTAAAGTAATTTGATTGCTGCAGAAATTTGTGAAATTCAAGTAAGAATGTGTACAAGTTTGAGTTTTGATGAACTTCTTATTAATTATTAAGTAGTTGATTAAAATTAAAACCTAAACTATGTCAATGAGCATTGTGTTTTCATTCAATCATGTTCTAAATGTTTTTTAGCAGATTAGTGAAACTTAATGAGGTGTTGAATATGCGATACGAGGTACGCGAGAAAGTGAAGATTCATCTCTATAAATATTTAATTGTGCAAAGTGCTTTATATACGACTTTATAGTAGTTACGTATACTGATAAATGTTTTTCAAAATTCAAAAAGAAAATGTGAAATATTTCTTTTTATCAAAATTTCATTTGACACACTTTCATGTGAATCATTATTGTAAAATATCATCATTATCCTCATTGACAAAGAACACAATTTTATGTTTTTCAAATTATTCCTGCTGTAGAAAAAAATGTGCCAGGTAGCATATGTCCTTAAGGCTTAACTCCAACACAAATCACAGGTATGATATGTTAGGTCACATCCTTGAATTAACTTGTTGTTCATACTTAAAACAAGACAAAACTACTAAATCTTCATTGATGGGTAGAAGAAAGAAGAAATCTTTATAAAGAAATACTGGGTGCTATAATTTTGGAACTACTTATGAATCAAGTCATTCATGGATTTTGTGTAGAAGTATACATTGCACTATATGTTAGCCATCAACATCACCACCATTCTCTTTAAGATGTATTTTATACATAAATTACTGACCATTAAAATTATGAAAATCTGTTCATTCAACAAGAAATATACGTCTATTAAAATTAAAATCTTGTTTACTATGCATGGATTATTTTTCTGGTACAAAACACTTATTGACATTGAGTGTACATGTATATTAATGAGAAACCTAGGTGTAACTGTTTCACAGGACAAGACAAATCCTACGTCTTATGGCCTAGGGCCAGTAGATTTGGTCTTCAGGCAAATGAAAATTTATGTTTACTTGCCCCACAGGCCATTGCAAAAAGTATTCTTATATTCACAGCATACTGTTTTATTACTTATCAAATAAACAATGGACAGACAAAATAGCTGTTGATTCCATAGAGTACATATCTGTATGTGTATGGTAAGTTTTGGACAAATGCAGTATATTTCCCCTCTGCAGAAGTTCTTTTTCAAATCTACTCGACTGAAGGACCTGTACTTTTGAAAACTTTGTTCTTGCATCATAAAATATTGTAATCTACCGCTGATAAGCCCATGGTTAGTGTAAAATTGTACTATGTTTTATATATATACATTTCTTTACTTACTGATTATTATCTTCTGATATCAGTTGATATGCCATATATTTCTCTAGTGGTTCAGACTAGAATGTTATTACAGGTGAAGGTCGCTAATTGGTTATGGGAACTCATGGCATGTGTCAACCCTAAGGGAAGTATAGTCTTACATATCTGACATGTCTAGTAAGTGGTTAGAATGGTAGCGCTCAGCATTGATGTCAACGACTCCCTGTAAAATGTCTAACAAAACTATATTGGGTTTGACCGTTTCAACTTGTAGGTAGAACTGTTAAATGTATGGACAGAGTCAACTTTGTAAATTACCTTAACCTGAAGTCTCTCTGCGCCATTAAGTGCATAAGACCTCCACGCTTTCTCTCCAACCTAGTCTGCTTTGCGCTAACACTTCTCTGATTTTCTGTGGCCCACCGTAGTGGCTAACACTCCATATTAAGCCCACTCAGTTATTTGACATTCAATGTTATTTCTATAAGATATTTCCACCTTCATAGAAGACCAAAATAAACAATAAACCCAGACCACATTTTCAAAGACAGAGGCTCCTTGGCTGATCGTAAGTAAAATACGGTGCTCAGATTTACTTTTTCAGTTGAGAACATTCCAATAATTTGAGCCTGCTGTAGGTGTTCTAAATCACCACCAAGTAACTGATTGGGTAAACTTAGAGAGACTAACATCTATTGTCGCAAATCACATTAAAATATAAATAAAACATTTAAAAACTTTTTACATGTGTTGTCATCTGTATATAACATGTTTATGAAGGAATTGTGAAGATGTCGACAATAAACTTGGGTAGTAATGTCCGACTTTCTCTGGCTTAAAGTACATAGAACAGTAAGAATTTCTGCTGCCTACAAGAGGTACAATTGCCGGGTATAAGTCTGCAGCTGAGAAATCCATGGAAATATCTAATGGTGTTCTTTAAATACCATTTATGATTCACAAATGTAGCAATTCACCACAAATTTCTTCAAATATTTGCCTGTGTGCAAGAATGCAGAATTATTTTTAAATATTCTACTACATGAATTAAATATAAAAGATATTCAATGAAAACAATTGAGTACTGTACATTGGTTTTTATAAATTTAAAGTAATGAAAGTTACCCTGAAACAAACAGTAAATTTGCTTAAGAACATCAAAATCCCATCACATTGTGTGGCAGGACCTCAGTGTATGACATCTTACTTCAATGATGTCTCTATCAATGACATCTTACTTCAATGATGTCTCTATTAATGACATCTTACTTCAATGATGTATATCAATGACATCTTACTTCAATGATGTATATCAATGACATCTTACTTCAATGATGTCTCTGTCAATGACATGTTACTTCAATGATGTCTCTATCAATGACATCTTACTTCAATGATGTCTCTATCAATGACATCTTACTTCAATAATGTCTCTATCAATGACATCTTACTTCAATGATGTCTATCAATGACATCTTACTTCAATGATGTCTCTATCAATGACATCTTACTTCAATGATGTCTCTATCAATGACATCTTACTTCAATGATGTCT